TTCCATCATTGCATCATTAGTTGAACAATTATCCACGGTTATAGAAGACAACCTAAGATCAAGATTCCATGATTGAATGCTTTCTTTCAAAGCATCAGCAAGAACCTCAGCAGTATGAGGGGCGGGGACATATAAAAACCTACCAAAACCAATGAAAATAACATATATTATTTGTCTATTCAATACTATTGTGGATATATGGGCTCATTATTATCATCCATCATCACAACTTATAATTCTTATGATTTTAAAATTCACACAAAAAACTATAGCAATACAAAGACAACCAAAAAAAAATAAACAAGTTATAAGTAACCAGAAAACAATACCTTATGATCCGACTTTGCAACTTCCATGTATTATCAATAAAATGTGAGGTGACCGCCATATAACCTTTTCTCTGGTTGTCAGCTGTCCACATGTCAGTAGTTAAGGCAATCTTACCCTTTGCTTTCCTCAACAAGGTTGCAACATTCTCCTTCTCAAGCTCATATCTTTTCATAATATCTTTTCTAGTTGTGTTGCGAGACGGCACTTTAAATCCAGGTTGGAGTGTCTTGCTATATTTTCTAAAACCAATATGCTCAACCATGCTAATTGGATACTCATGCAAAATAATCATCTCTGCCAAGTCTCTTCTTCCATCTTCTTGGTGGAATTCGTAAGGAGCCAATGTCATCGTGTCATTCTTATCATTCAAGTTTTTTTTTGTACCAAACATTCTTGTTTGTCGAAGATCTTGACATACTCTCTTTGGACATATTTTTATATGATCTTTCAAATGAGTAGTTCCTGCTTTTGACCCACCAGCAAGTAGCTTGGAGCAATGGTTGCACTCAGCTTTTATCACATCCCCAACTCTCTTTCTCTTAAAATCAGACCACACTGCCGAAGTATGCCTACTAGTAATTGGTAGGAGAGAAGGATCGGAATTAGTCTCTAGAGGACTTTCATCATCATCTATTGCAATTGGAGTATTACTAGCGGAAGTGGGAACACTAGCGTTATTTGACATCTCAGACAAATTCTCCCCTGTAAAAATTAAATAAAGACAATTAATGCACTAGACATATTGACTACAGTATTGAACACATTTGACATCTCAGAAACAGCAATAATAAATTAATAATAGCAAATTAGCAATGCACAGCAGCAAAGGCAGATCATGCTTCTAGCACAGCTATCGGAAGATATCATGTTGAAAGGCCTATCAATGCATAATGTCATACTGTAACTGCTATGTTAATATATTGTTGCTGCTGCATAACCAGTTAACCACCTATCACACTAAGTCACTAACCACTACATACTGGCTGCCAGCAACAGCATCACCAAATTTAGTACTCTCATTTTGTAAGAAAGAGGGAGACAACAAACACAAACACAAGGACATCAAAATATAGTACAGTAGTTGTACAATTTGGTGTCTCAAAGTCTTCATTCTTAAAAGCTGTCAGCTTACGACATTAAAGATCCAACCTGTTCTTCCACTCTATCTATACACACCCACTTTCTTAACCACCAAAATCAGCACCTGATTATCCATCCACATTTTCATTACCCCAACTCAATTTGCATACATTGTGATCAATTTCATCAATATTGAGTACTACTTAAATTACAGTATAACAACAATAGTATGATACTATGATAATAGTTTGAAATTCATTTCTCACGCTTTTATACAATCTTTTAGTTGCTTATACACAACTCCCTCACCTGTACATATGCTGCTAGAAGAGACAGAGAATCTCTTGCTACTCTGCAGGGTCACATCAAAGTATCAAACTTCCATACATTCTTCCAAATTCTCAGATCCAAGTATCCAACAATGACCCAAGTCACCCAACCATACCATTAACTGATTTTCTGAAGAAAAGAAATAAGTGTTACCCCAACTTCACTATATAATTTCCAGATTTGTCGTATCACCATACAAACATATCAACTAGTTGTGCAATGCTAGCAGAATACCCAAGATTTCATTGGACTCAAATGACTGAAAATTTCCGCGTACCACTCTTTCATCCCACCCACTTCCATCCGGCTCCCCAAAATTACACAGTTAACATATGGAAGTAATGGAACCATCCGTGGCCAGATTTATGTTTTGATAGTATAGCATACTATTCTTGCTTATTCTTAAAATTAAACATGTAGCATGAAGCATCCTTTGGGACTTCTATGATAATAGTTTGAAATTCATTTCTCACGCTTTTATACAATCTCAATAACAAAGAATACAACAAAATTTGAAGAAAATTCTTACCTGGGTTATTTAACAATTCTCAATAGAAATTGCTCCAACTTCCCCCAATGAGTCTGAAATTAGTCTGAAATTGCTCCAACATAATCCGAATTTAGTTATCACACATAAGCTAAAATAATAAACATAAACTTATAAGTCTGAAATTAATGAGAAAAACTAATTACAATCTATACATATTTCGACTTTATTATATCTATTTTGTGAAATTAAATATAAAAAAACAAGTAATGAAAATTCTAGATTAAAACCCTAATAAACTAAAAAATTTAGAGGTCATCATATTCATACATTATCATACAAAAAATAACAGTAATCAACTACATTGCATTAGATTGAAAGTATCATACAAATATAACACGAAACCCTAGCTCAATCAAATGAAATATTGAAAACCGCAATCGAACAAATCATAAATAAAAGACGAATCACATACTTTCAATCGAAAACCCAATTAAGAAATTCTTAATTGAACATATTGAATTAAGAAAATTCAAAGATAATAATGCGAAAACGTTTACCTAAATTGAATGAGTTGCAGCCTTGCAAGATCGAGGTTGAAGAAGAAGGATCGAAGAGATTTGATTGCAGACGAGGACCACGAGGTTGAAGAAGAAGGATCGAAGAGAGGGGTTTGAGGCTTGAGGAAGAGATTCAGCGCAGTGAGCTGTGAGACTGTGAGTCTGTGAGAGGAGAGAGTGAGGCAGTGAGAGGCTAGGGTTTTTGTTTTGTGAATGACTGAATGAGGGTGGGTATTGGGTAAGTGGGTTATTGGGTTAGATTTCATTAGGTGTAGTTTTTTTTTTTTTTTTTTTTTAATCGTATTATGCAGTCGGGTCTTATGCGGGTATGGGGTGGGTATAAAGCGGGTATGGGTCGGGTATGGAGTGGGTCAGGCGGGGCGGGGCGGGTACGGGGTGGGTCAGGCGGGGCGGGGCGGGGCGGGTATGGGGCGGGTCTGGGCGGGGCGGGTATTACATAACAACCATCCCCGCCCCATCACCCATGGCGGGTATGGAGTTTAGACCCATCCCCGCCCCGCGACCCGCCAAAGCTAGACCCATCCCCGCCCCATCGGGGCGGGGATGGGGCGGGTCTCCTACTAGACCCGCCCCAGTGACATCCCTAATTGGAGAGTTGAACCTTGACCTTGGGCTTTTAATTGGATCATTTAGTGCTCAGGCCCAATTTTGGCTAAATTGGACCCAAACAACTAGTATTTACGAGGGTGTGGCATACCCTATTTGTTATTCGATGAGCTTAAAGGAATTGTTTGTGCAGACTACTAAGTGGAAGGTTGCTTCGATTGATTTGGATACAATGGAAATTGAACTTGTGAAGGATGCTAATTTGTCTCAATGCACAGATGCCCATGTTTGTGTAGAGAACCTTATGATGCTTCGAGGATAGGATTGAATTGCTAACTTCTTTTGGTTGAAGAGGAACATCACATGAGAAGAGCTGAAGAGGGGATTGAAAAAGAAACATGAGATGAACATCATTTGATCTTTTGCATGTAGTAGTATTAAGTTTTTTTTAGCCTTTGCTATTATCTTTGTTCCTATAGATGAAAGGAATTTTTGTTAATTACTACCTCAAAAACGTAAATTACTACCCCTAAAAAACTTCAAGTGATTGCTACCCTTTTTCTTAATTAGCCCCTAATTAGGCGATTTAAGGGTAACAATCACTTGAATTCAATCAGTTTTAGGGTAGTAATTAACAACTTTATTTTTAGGGTAGTAATTCACAAAACCTCTCTTTTTTGAGGTAGTAATTAACAAAATTTTCTACATGAAAATACTAGTATTTATTTTCATTGTAATACTCTTGCTTTAATTTTGAAAGTCACACTGAAGCCTGATTTAGGAAAGAGATTATTTTGCTGTATCAAATTATCTTTAAGCAATTGTTTGAAATTGTGAATGTACTTTGTTACAACTAAATTTTACCCCTTGTACGCATACACCCTCTACATTTTCTTTTTTGAAACATACAATTGATATGACACAACCATACGAGAGAGCCCAAGTTAACTTCAGAAATTAACATTCCAAATTAAGCTACTCTTATAATTTTATGTATTTATTTTTGTGTCACTTTACTATTTCAGTTTTATTATTTAGAAAATAAAAAATATTATAGTTGAGAGGAGATATATTTCGATTATATTTCCATGTCTCAAAGATAAACTTGAATTTTCCCATATGTAGATTAGGGGTGTTCAATCGGTCCGGACCGAAAAAATGGACCGGACCACCTTGGACCGGTCCAAAACCCTATAAATATCGGTTTTGGACTGGACATAATTTTTTTAATTAAAAATATGCGTGAAACCTTAGATAATGGTTAAAATTATTCTTAATTAGCTTAGAAAAACTTATCCTTAATTAGCTTAGAAAATTTGAACTTTATAAGTTTTTTTTTACCAAACATAAAAAAAAAAAAAAAAAAAAAACGTGAAAATGACGTTAAAATATACTTTTTCCTTTACATTTATTTTTTCATGTTTTCCATAACTTTATTAAAATTTAGTAATCTTTTTAAAAAAAATTCTTAAATCGGTACAAAGCGGTCCGATTCGGGTTTTAGACCGATTTTTTCAGTCTGGTCTAGGTTCGGTCCCAGCTTAATCAATAGTTATCCTCGTTCGATGTTCAATTTTGGGTTCGGTTATGAAAGCATTTCTCGGGACTATAGATGTGTTAGGATTATCCGAAATTTTAATGTGGAAATGAGCTCTATTGAGAGTGATGTTATGGTTTATAGCTTGAAGAATGATTCATGGAGAAAGGCGGCTAGTCCTAGTGTTCCTTTCGATTTTGATTACCATTATGCGAATTTTGTCTTTCTTAATGATGCCATCCATTGGGATGGTGGTTTTACTTTTAGTGAGAATGAAGCTAATGAACCACGGCCTATTGTTGCCTTTAATTTAAGGGATGAACGTTTTAGTACTCTGCCAATTCCTAATGTCGATTCCATGGACCTTGCTCACATGTTCGTGGGAGTACTTGATGGTAGCCTGTGTCTTTCTGTTAGCGGGCTGAATAGTGATACTGATTTGTGGGTAATGAAAGAGTATGGTGCAGCTGGATCTTGGATGAAGTTATTTTCCTTTTCCAAGATCTATGGTTACGGGGGAGTGGAGAGACCTATTTGTTATTCGATGAGCTTAAAGAAATTGTTTGTGCATATTACTTATTGGCAGGTTGCTTCTGTTGATTTGGATACAATGGAAATTAGCAATGTGAAGGTAGTTAATTTTCCTCGATGCACAAATGCCCATGTTTGTGTAGAGAACCTTCTTATGCTTCGAGGATAAAAATACTAACCTTTTTTGGTTGAAGAGGAACCTCACATGAGAAGAGGGGATCGAAAAAGAAACATGAGATCTATGAACATCATTTGATCTTTTGCACGTAATAGTATTAAGCTTATTTTTAGCCTTCGCTATTTTTATTGTTCTTATAGAAGCAAATATTTATTTTCATTGTAAAACTCTGCTGTAATTTTGAGAAATGTCACAGTGAAGTCTGATTTAATTTGTGAAAGAGATTATTATTCTGCTGTATCATTTTTCTTTAAGCAATTGTGTGAACGTACTTTGTTACAATCAGTCATTTGATAGATTAAGAAATAAGTTGGTATCGTACAACTAAATCTTACACCTTGCATTCACCTCACTCTCTAGTCCTCTACTTCAAGGATTGCTTTTGGGTTACTGCAGCACTACTTTTATCAAAAAATTTACAAATGCTCATTAAAAGACATCACCAGTCCAAAACACTTGCGCTGATGTCCCATATTAATCGAATAGTTCTATTTGGAGATCATGTTCCCTTGCCATTATCATACCAGTACAAAGGCAAGGACACGTTACCTGAAACTAAGCCATCGTATACAAAGGTATGATCACCTGAAGACATCCCGCCTGGTTTTTGTAATCATAGTTTCATACCCTGGGTACTGGAAACGCGATTGGAGAAATCATTCAGGGAAGAGGACAGTGCACCCAAGCAACCTTTAGCACTCGACTTACAGGCAGGCAACGTCCAATGGCAGGAGATGCGTTTGGAATGTCAACCACACTAACTATATTTTATGTACAGGTCAAGGGCATATGCTCTATAATACGCGGTTGGAGCTTGAAGAAATCCACGACGGCCTGGAAGACTGGCCTATTGTTGCCTTTAATTTAAGGGATGAACGTTTTAGTACTCTGCCAATGCCTAATTTCGATTCCACGGACCTTGCTCACATGTTCCTGGGATTACTTGATGGTAGCTTGTGTCTTTCTGTCAGCGTGTTTTAATTGTGGCACAAGTTTTTGGGTAATTAAAGAATATGGCGCAGCTGGATCTTGGATCAAGTTATTTTCCATTCCCAAGTTGTATGGTTACACGGGAATGGACAGACCTATTTGTTATTCAATGAGCTTAAAGGAAGTGTTTGTGCATCTTTCTTATTCGCTAGTTGCTACTGTTGATTTGGATACAATGGAAATTAGCATTGTGAAGCAGTGCGGAAATGCCCATGTCTGTGTACAGAACCTCCTTATGTTATGAAGATAGGAATGCTAACTTATTTTTGGTTGAAGAGGAAGATCTCATGAAAAAGAAGGGATCGAAAAAGAAACACAAGATGAACATCATTTAATTATTTGTTCATAGCAGTATTAAGCTTGTTTTAGCCTTTGATATCATGTTATCGCTGTTACTATAGATGCAAATTTTTAATCATCATTGCAAAACTCAGCTGAAATGTTGAGAAATGTCAGTGCAGCCTGAATTGAGAAAGAGTGTTTATTCAGCTGCTGTATCAAAATTTCTTTTTAAGTAACTGTGTGAACATGCTTTGTTACAACCAGTCGTTTGATAGATCAAAAAGAAAAAAAAAAATTGGTGTCATACAACCAAATCTTACACACTGGTATCACCCTCTACTTCCGGGATTGCTTTTGGGTTATTAAAGCACTTTTATAAATTTACAAGTGCTCATAAAAAGAACACCAATCGGATAGTCCTAAACACCTGCGTTAATGTCCCATCTTATTCGAATGGTTCTATTCGTAGATCATGTTCACTTGCCATTATCATCCCAGTACAAAGGCAAGTAGGACACATTACCTGAAATCAAAAAAGGATTCATATACATTAATATCCAGCCAAATGTGGTCAATATTATAAGCTTCTGATAAAACCCGAGAGTTTACTATATATCAATGTTAAACAAAGAGAAAAAATTTACAACCCTTGTTGATATAAAGCTAGCACAAGAACAAGGTTCATGGCATAGGCCCTCCACTTTACGCGAGGAAATTAAGCTGCTAAATGCAACCAAACAAGTTTAAATGCTTGTTTCAGACTATAACCAAGAAGCAGATGGCTAATGTGCCACAAATCAAGCCTCATCATGCCTTTAGGAACGTATCAGCCAGTTTAGCATGATGCTGGAGGAAGCAACCTTATTAGGTAGTATTTTTTTATACAGTAATGAAATTGGCTTGGACAAGGCCTAACGGTGAACCCCTAGGCTATTTAAATCCCTCCTAAAAAAATAAAAAAAAAAATCCTTGGACCACATGTAATTCAACCATTTGCCAGTGGGTGGACAATAAAGTTATTTACTTTGCTGGTGTTGTTGGTGAGGGTGGCAAGTGAGGTGGTGTTTGGTTTTGGGGGGGGGGGGAACTTAAAAAAGGGTGGTTTTAAGAGATCATGTACCCCTCAAGTGACCAAGTCAATGCTGGATTGCAAGGTCAAAGGTCAGATTTCGGCATAAAGTGTGTTCTTGCCACAAAAAAAAAAAAAAAAAAAAAAAAAAAAAAAAAAAAAAAAAAAAAAGGTGTTCTTAAAAAAAATTTATGTAGTAGTTTTTTAAAAAAAAGAAGTGTTTTGGTAAGGAGGTTTTTGGCAAACTTTCCTAGATTATAATGTATAGAATATTCGAATTGTGTTGCTAAGCACATTCACCTATTATAAGATATAGGGTCAACAGGACACACTCTCTGCCATTGCTGGGATGAAGCAGTTGACACCAGTGCAGCAGTGCTCCTTAGTCCTTACATATAGCAGGGTGGAAGGGTGAAGCAGTGGACACCAGTGCAGCAGTGCTCCTTAGTCCTTACATATAGCAGGGTGGAAGTATCTTTAGGAACTAGAGTACTGTTATTGTTATAGCATGGTTCTACTGTCAACAAATTTCAACGTGGTTGCTATCTTGTACAGATTCAGACAATCTTAAATTCTCAAGGATAAATATAGGGAAAAAAAAAAGAAAATAACAACATATGAAGTAAAAAAAAAAAAACACTAATTGAACATGACATAAGCAGACTATGAAAACAAGTCACAATGGAAGTGGGTTAGATCAATCAAGATTAAACGAGAATGGAAACGTTATGAATGTCTCGTGTTCCTAGACGTAGCAAAACAAAACAATTCCAATCACAAGATTCTAAAGAATTGTATACCTTTCCTACACCTGAACAATTTGAACACCTTTGTGTAGTTGGCACTCGCAAGGGGCGATTGTAATCACCGTTTATCGAAATTGGTTCTGTCCTTAAGCACAAACCACTAGAAGAACATCGAGCACAGGCCAGATACCCTGCAAAAGAAATACGGAAACAAGAAATGACAAAGCAATACAGACAATGAATTACTTCAGAATGATGAAAATTTTAATTCTGAATGATGCTGTGCAACAATGAGACCAAGCAAGATTGACATTAGACGTGTTGTCTGAAAATGAGGAATACAGACACTCTGGTAACATATCCTGAATAGCAAAGCATTTCAATTTTTAAGACTTTGCTTTACCATCATACTCAGCACAATAACCTTCATTATTAGTAATTCACACACTCCTTCAGTTAGAATCAACCAGCCATAAGTCCACAATTCAACACAAGAAAGACTTAACCATAGCATACCAAAGCTGATTACAATATCAGTAAACAAATTCTCATGATGCCTAGATTAGAAAAAGGGATACAGGAAGTTCTAAGATAAAAAAAGATTAAGAAAGAGATGAAAGTTATCTGATGGAATAGAAGGCATCACCATTGCAATCTTATCAAAATATATATTTTCCAAGTTAGACAGTTTGTTGCTGTGTATTAGGAATCAGGGGAAAGTGGGTGACCAGTCAAAAATGCTGTATGAGAGAGAGAGAGAGAGAGCAGAGATTCAATGTTTTAAGAACAAGTTAACATGTACCGGATCCACGGCAATATTTGCATCTTTTCTTCTCTTGTTGTTCCACATTGTTGACTTCAATCAACATCAAAGCTGAAATAACTCCAACAGCCCCACCAGCAAAAGATGCCACTATGGGATCGACTTGACTGAAATTGGTGATCAAAATGACAGTACAAATGTCACTGATTGTTTAACAAAACACAACGTTGATAATATACCCTTGGCTCTGAAGAAATTAAACTCTCTTGATAAAATGAATCAACTCAAAGCCATTTGCGTGATCTTTAAGCTTATAAAGAATATAGCATTGTTTCTTATCATACCTCAGTTGAAGTGGTAAATGCAAGCTGCGAACGAAGTCTTCATAAGATGTGCCCCCTATACCTAATTTTAATTCCAGCTGCAAAATAAAGAAGGTTCAGATCTTATACAAACCATTCAGCAAGTAATCCTAGTAAAACTGTAAAGAAATAAGTCTCCTTTGTCCTTTCCAAGCCAGAGACGATTACAAGTCTCCATGGTTAAAATGGTGAAGTAGAAAACTGATATCTCACAAGGTCAAGTATGCTCTATGTTTTCAAATCACAATGATGATTAAACACCTCTCCTTTCATATAGAAATTTATACAGAGCCAGCTAGCCAGTGAAAAAAAGATGGAGAACTAAAAAATACATCAACATATCACCAAACTCAAGAAGTAATTAAGAGTTCTGCAACCGACTGAAAAAGCATTCAACAAGCCTACGAATTATGACTTGGTTGAAGCATTTTCCTCACAGGACAGAGTAATCTAAAGAACAAAATCAGTTTGATAGTGTGTTCCAGAAGACCAGAATTTAAACTTGGTGATATGCGTGAGTTATATGAATTTTATTTGATTTTTCTGTTTTAACATTGATTTAAGTTGAAAGTACTTAAGTGATTGGGTGAGCTTCATAAGCATGCAACTTGATACCAGACAATATTATTCAATGGAATAATTGCCGTATAGCTTACAGTGTTTTGATTATAAGTAAAAGGAATGCAGCATATTTCTCAATATTATAATTATTATCCAACCTTTCAAGAGAGCACTTGTGAGTAGAATAGAATGAGAAAACGGCATAAGCTTACAGATGGAGCAATAAGGCCTCCAAAGACAATGATCCCTGCTATAAATGAAAAGCTCGTCAAGTACAGTTTCTTCAATGATTTTGGAGTCTGCATCATGAAACTCAAATCATTAACATCAGGAAGCTTAGGAGAATTGATAACATTGAAGAGTCACACTTCATAAGAAGTGAATAAAGACTCATCCAAGATATAACTTGTTCAATCTAATTACTATATTTTTTCCTAAGATAAAAACGAAACTTAAATTTATTACATTGTAAATAAAAAATTAGCAATGCCTGTTTCCCCAAAGACTTACCACATGAGGAAGGAAGGGAATAGATGAAGGAATCTCAGGCATTTCATTTGCCTCATCTATATTACCCTCGTGAGTAGCCTTCATCCCCTTGAGACGTTGTTGTATCCGTAGTCTCCTTACCTATAATCACATATAATTGAAAATCAATACAACAGCTTTACTTGATACTATTACCATGAGAAGTTCTTCCTACTCCATTGGTGTAAGCAATGGGGGTTCAATGTGTAACATTGAACAAACCCATATAAAATTTAGCTATAAATTTCACCTCCTCCATCAGAAGAAATATCTTATTACGCCTACTCCGTATATTATCTTGAATCTCTTGTGACTGCATTTGTACAAAGTTCTGGATCGTCTCGGGTCCCTCTATGATGCAAAAGTTGCTGCACAATATGATTGCTACAATATAAGGAACCCTATACTCACTAACTTACACTAAGTACTCCCACTTTACAAGTGGGATTATATCAAATTCTAACAGCAATTTCGATAAACATCATAAAATCCAATGCCCATTTCAACAAATATCACAAAATCCAATGCCAATTTTAACAAAGATGCAAAATTCAGTGACAATTTAATTAAAACTTAGCAATTAGCAATTGCACAATTCTAACCCAACAACAATATATGGATTTTAGAAGACACCCTTTTTCTGTAACAGCTACAACAATTACTATATCAAATTGAGGACTCAATCATCATAAAATTCATAATACCCACTTCAATTTTCATTCAAATTATAAAATTATGAACCCAAATCAAATTACCCTTTTCCCAAATTGTTCAAACTATATCATATACCAACAAATTAAACCATCAATTTCCCAGATTTTTTTAATTGAAAATAGCAGACAAAATTCAGACAGAATTATTAAAAATAGCAACAAATTGTAAGGGATAAAGAGAAGAACCCGGAAGAGTTGTCGCCGACAGGTAGCGAGTCAAAGGAGTCTGAAGAAGAAGAAGAAGAAGAAGATGATGATGATGAAGAGCAAGTAATACGAAGGAGCTTGGGATTGGAGAAACAATGGTGTTTGAATTTGGAGTTAGAAGGGATGGTAATGAAGGAAGAAGGATGAAGAGAGAGAAAACACTCCATTTCTGAGATCACAACACACCGCCTTTACTTTTGCTGAAGCTGCTGCTCTAATCCTATACCAATTGGTTTTGTGTTGGTGCATACAAACAACAACAAGATGGAGGAGCCACGGAGGGAGCGAGAGGGAATTTGTTACGGAATCCTCCATATTGCCCGTTATCGGACCATAAATTATCATTAATCTATCAGAAAAAAAAAATCGTCTTAATGTCTACCGTTAGAATATCACATTTTTATAATTTTTGTATAATAGAGTTGAAATTAGAGACTACAGAGTTCCTTGAAATTTATGGACCCTAGTAGAGCTGTCAAAAATCGACCCGAACTGGTGAATCCGAACAGTTTTGAACTGTTCCGAAAAGGAACCGAACCGTTAATAACCTGTTATTTTAAAACCGTAAACCGACCCGACCCGATTTTTTAAAACCTGAAATTGAACTGATCCGAATTTTTTAGAACCGCTAATGAACCGTACCCGATATCAAGCCGAACTGATACAACCTGAAACCGAGAACAACCCAAACCGATTACTTTTGAACCCGATAGTAACCCGACCCATTGTAAACCAAAACTGTTAAAACCCGACAAAAACCCGATAAACCCAAATCTTTTACAACCTGTAACTGGTTAGAATTGAACCGTTTATAATCCGTAATAAGTTATGATCGAACCGTTTATAACCCGTAATCGGTTATAATCGAACCGTTTATAATCCGTAAGTCCGTAACCCGTTATAACACTAGAATTTTTTATTTTTTTACTTTTTTTTGCGTATATTTTATCATTAGTAAAACAAAAGGGTTTAATTTGAACTATACAATATTTATATTAAAAAGGTTTGGAATTTTGATGTCATTGAAACTCTTATGCTACAATATCATCGTCCTCTAACGAGTAATGGCTTATGGAACACTATATTGTATTAAAAAAAATTAAAAATCTAAATCAAAAGCTAATAAAGGGCTTGTTCTCATTGACTGAACTCAGCTAAACTGAACTGAATTGAATTGAGCTGAACTGAGCTGAACTGAGCTGAACTGAACTGAAATGAACTGAAATGAATATTTTATAAGAGAAGGAAATTAGGAGCTTAGCTGAACTGATGAACTGAATTGAAATGAATATTTTATAAGAGAAGGAATTTAGGAGTTGAACTGAACTGAACTGAACTGAGCTGAGCTGAACTGAACTGGACTAAACTGAGCTGAACTGAACTGAACCGAATTTCAACGTAAGAGAACAGACCCTAACTCTAGATTTGTTATTATTAGTTGATCCTTAAAATCATTATACAAAAAAGGGACATAAAAGTAAACAACTAATTAATACTCCGTATGATCTACTGAAATTACTAATTAAAGAATATTGAGGATATACTCATATACTTGACGATATATATATGTTAACGAAACCCGTTTAAAACTAGCAAAACTAGTTGTCAAACTGGCTGAGTTCAACTTGAACCAATTACAACCCGACTCGATTAGGACCCGATATGTGTTGACCCAAAACCCGCTTTAAACTGATAAACCCCGTTTTTAAACTGACCGAATTTAACCCGAACCAATTATAACCCGACCCGATTAGAATCCGACCCGAAAAGAAACTGTAATAAAAATAAATCAAACCGAACCAACCCGAAATTATTTAAAACCGACCTGAACTGACCCGTTAATAATTCCAACCCATTAAAAACCGACCCGTTACAAACCGAAATCTGATAAACCGAACCAAAAACTGAATCGAAAACCCGATTGACACCACTAGACCCTAGGCATAATGTGAGTTAAGACAACAATTGGGTACTCAATTGTTGGTTTTTTCACCTTTTGGGTATTCAATTGTTTTTTTTCCCCGTTTGGGTACTTTGACCCATTTTCCAGCCAAAAAAAATTAAATCACCCAAACAATTGAGTACCCTTGGTTAAAAATTGAGTTCCTTGGGTTAAGTCATGTAGGCCCACCAAAAAAAAAAAAAAAAACCAACAGCTTGCTTCCCCTCTCTCCCCTTTTCATTTTCCTTTATTCTTGCCATTTCTAGAAAAAATTTCGCGGAGGTTGGTGAAGAACATGAGCTAGATTGTGGCCAAATTTGGGGAAAACAACAAAAATCGCAGCTGTTTTTTGAGTTATGTTTGATTACACAGCCTTGTAGTTAATTTGTTAAAAATTTCAATTTTTTTGGGCGATTGATTATCGTTTTGTTGCGATTTAGGGTTTTGGTTTTGTGGGTTAATAACGATATTGAAATGGTGATTTGTTGTTGTTTTGTCTAATTATTTGTACTTGTGATGTTGTATTTGCTGCTATATGTGAGTGATGTTGTTGGATTGTGGGTAAATGTAATGATGCATAGTTAAAACCATCACATATAGAGAGCCAAAAGAGAGAAGGGAGGGGGGGAAAATCTAAGCAACAAAGTCGACCCATGTCCACATGTAGCTAGGAGGGACGCAGAACTAAGCCAAGTCCCCTACGTGAGCAATTACAGAAGCGTAAAAACGTGTAGAAGAAAGATAGAGAATCACGTTAAAAAATACACAAGCAATAACAAAATTAAAACTAAGCACTTAATTTATTTAGGAAAAATGGAATCTAAAAATTCAACCTTTGGCCGGTCTGAAAATAAAAATCCAACCTTTAAGTAATCCCCAAAAAATCCAACCTTTGCCCCCCACCTTCTCCAACAAATCCACGACCTATTAAAACAGGTAAACTTGATACTTCTCCGGTTTCTTCCCTCCATATTTATGACCGTTGCAGGGGGAAGTTAATTTGGTAATTAATTCCTCTGTTCTTCTCCCATCCCATCTCCTTAAAAGCTCTTCTCCCCCCTAAATTTTTTTCTCATTCACTTCCTCATTTCCATTTTTCTCCAAGAATCTTACTTTGTTCTCTCTCCAAAAATGGCAAGTCAACTGTCTGCTGGCTTTGGTTCTTCTAGGTCTAGGTCGAAGGGAATTTCTTCCCCTGCGAAATTGGTGTGCTACCACAACGAGTTTGCGCCGTTGAGGACTGTTCGATATGACGGTCCGACAAAGGGGAAAAGGTTTTATGGGTGCTCCTACTGGTGTGTGAGATTTATGTTAATTTTTTTTTTGTTCTTGATTTTTATTTTTTAAATTGCATTTTCAAATTAGGGTTTTTAATGTGTTTAATTTGTAGGAGCAGAAAACATGTGGGTTTTTCAAATGGGCTGATGAGGTTGATGATGTACGCGATCTGCAACAAATTGTTATTGAGAAGGAGGAAACTATCTCTGAACTGGAGCATCAAGTGGATATGCTGAAGCAGGAACAGGAACTGATGAGAGACAAAGTGAAGAAGCTGAAGGCGAAAAAGGAGAAGTTGTTCGAGGAGGTTGAAGAGATGGGTATTGCTACTACGGAAACCATGTTCGAGCTGAAGGAGAATAACAGTGAAAAGAGGCTCATGCTGACCTTGGTGTTTTCTTGGGCATTTTTTACTTTGGTGCTCATGCTAAAATAGTTGATGATGGTGATGCTGTATTTTGGGGGGGGGGGGTGGATTAGTTGTAGTTGCAGTTTTTTGGGTATAATTGAATAGGACTTGGTGAATGTATCTGCTTTTGGGGATGTTGAAGTACTAGGAGTATGTTCTGTTTTTTTTTTTTTTTTTTTTTTTTTTTTTTTTTTTTTTTATTAATTGGATGTTGGTATGTCTGTAGTAGGAGGTACAGATTGGATTTGGTAAAAAAAAAGTTCCTTTTGTTTTAGTTTGGTCAGATGTGGCCATTTAGGTGAAGGTATGAAGCATATGATTTGAACAATTTATGTACATTTTGGCAACTGATTTCAATGATATGAATATATGATGTTGCTTAATATGGTTTGTGTGTGTTTTGTGACTGCAAAAGTTATATGGAAATTAAATACAAAGTCAGAATATGGAAGGATAATAACCATAGATTAAATAATGTCATCAAACTACAAAGTGTCAACAAAATCCATACAATCATCAAACTAAACTGAAAACATAACTAAATGTGTTCAACACATATTACAACTGATCAATGTTCACTTAACTAAGTTAACTAAATGTATCTATGAGGTGGAGCCTTGACTGAAGTTGTATGAGAAGCTTGTGGTTGTAGCACTAGTTCTGCCTACACCTCCATGAAGTTGTATGCACAATTAAAAAAAATAGGGTTAGATTAAAATGAGGAGAAAGAACTAACATGCAAAACACTTAGTAAGTACAGGTGAAATAGCTTACATATGAATTGCCATCTTGTGACACAAAGACTCACAGAAAACCTTTGGGTTGTAACTCTTGAATGCTTCTGCTGCAAGTGGGTCTGCTATAGCTAACTTAGCTATATTCTCATTGAAGTCTGCTTCATTATAGGCTTTAGCACAGCTCCAGAACATAAGTTTCATGTCATCACCCTTGAAGTTTTTGTGCCAATGAGCAAAAATGTGCCTTGCACAATGTCTATGCTCTGCATTTGGGAGAACTTCTAACACTCCAGCTAATATGGACTGAGACACATAAACAACATCATTTACTTACTAAGCCATATATCAAATTTAAAAACAAATGTAATGAAGATGCAATACTAGAATATAGAGGAAAATGTTAATACCTGATGCTCATCTGAAACAAAGATTGTCCCTGCTCCATCTCCAAGGTCAAGACTCTTCTTCAAGTTCTCTAAAAACCAAGCCCATGACAGATTGTTCTCACCTTCTACAACAGCCCATGCAATGGGATACATTTGATCATTTCCATCTCTCCCAACTGCTGGCATCAACTACCCACCCAAAAATGTCTTCAAGAAACATGCATCAATACAGATAATCTTCCTTCATCCTTCTTTCCAACCCTTTTTCACTCCCTCAAAACAAACATACAACCTTTGAAAAATTTTAAGTGGTTTGTTCTTATCCATGTAAGTAACTAAGTCCAATTGTGTGTTTGGACTAACCTTTTTCACTGCTTCTAAATACCTCCCAACTTTACTGTAATGTTCTCTCATAGAACCATGAAGCTTTCTATGGGCATAGTACTTCACTTTGTAAGCAAAATCTCTCTTAATTATAACCTTGAAAGCCCTCCTTACTGTCCCTATGATATCCTTAGCAGGCCAATGTGGTCTAGCCTTGA